CAAGGTTTCAAATGAACACTTTTTTTATTTTGTTTGAACTAATAGTCATGGAAATAAAAATCCTAGTAAGTTAATTTACATGTGTGAGCCACTGTAAATTACTTGACTTGAATTACCTGACTCAAGTCAACTCGTATTTTGACTCGTATTCTGACTCGAGTACTCTTCAAGTCAGAAAAATTATGACTTGACTTGACTTGAGTCAAAACGAGTTGATTCGAGTCCAATCACTAATTCTGACAAAGATGCAGGTGAGATAGCTTCGGTTGAAAAGGCTTGATCTTTGACAGCCAACATTCAACTTTGCTATTGGCATCTAGAGCCAAAATGAGCACGTATTCAGTAATATTGGAAACTCACTGCAAAATTGAGTTTATCAATCCTTCATGGATTCAAGGTGGCGTTGGATCTTTCTGCCCGGTTAACTATTCTCAAAATTTTTGGAAATGATTAAAAATCATGTGAATATGCATTCACTCATTCCAGTGGCCAAGGAGACTGATATGAATTTGAAAAAAATTTATCAGTTTTACGTACAGGAGATATACCAGTTCTGCTGTTCGAATAACCTTGCTAAATTATGGTGTTATTTATGAATAAACTGGTATAATAAAAAAACTGGAAGCTGCTTGCTCGGTCTTCGTACTCACAAGCCATGCCCTTCGCGCGCACTACGATGATAACGAAAAGCCACTGGAGAGTTCTAAAATACAATTACAACTACAATTGCCCACGACTCACTCAAATAATACCAGAACAACTCGTTCTTGACTTGAAATAAAGGTTGCTGCAGCGAATATCCAGCCCGACATGGAGGAAACATATCACATCGATACAAGAAACTGGGTAAGTTCGTGCACAGCCTACTTACACAGTTGCTATCATCTCTGTAAACATCTCGTTAGCAAAAAAATGGAAGTCAATTTTTACCTATACTTTGGAGACACAACGACGACACGATTGTTCCCTAATCGTTTTTAGCAATAACAAGACACTAGCTATTTGCTCAAATAAATAATCCATGGATGCGGTTTGGTGGTAGCAGACGACCCTTTCGAAGCAAGTAGTTCCGGTTCAAGCAAATTGGAAAATGTTATAGAGATGACAAATGATGTGATGAAAAGAAGGCGAGAAAAATATGCCCAATATGGAAAAAGATTCGATGCAGCATTAGCCGGGAGTTAGACAATGACAAATTTATAAATATCTTGGTAACGCCATTTTTAAGTGAAATTAATAGATGCGAAGTATTACAAGCTCGCCACCAACAAGGTAGCTGGAAGTCAGACAATGGGAGCTCGCTTCTCGGTGTTCTATAAAATTGGAATAAAGTAGATCAAAAAAAATTATTGCCTTTAACAAAGTATCAGTATACAGTACGTATTTGCAAATCAAATCAAATTAGACTTCGCCAATTTTAGCTTTTCCAGATTAAATGCAATATATCGAGAGTCGAGTGTTATAATATAGATGTATAAACTCGATGAATATTCGAAATTCGGCAATTCTTTAACAGTGGATTTTTTTATATCAAAACACTTGATTAATTATATCGATATTAAATTTACTCTCATTAAATACAGTATTTATTTTTTTTAATAATTTTCTTGCAAATACATCTTTAATTATATTCTTCTAGACACGCATGTCGCAAAAAACCAATATGATTATATCGATATACGCGCGATACGTATGTCTTTTAGTCTAAAGATATCTCAGACAGATAATGTGTGTCATTTAGCCATACCGATCGATACATATAAAGGATATCGAAAAGAAGATTTATCATGTATTGGCTCGGAACTAAAATAATAATTCTTACTCGACTGATATAAATTTTTATTGATGATTTTTCTTCTGTGATTGAATTGAATTACTATGTCAAAACACTTATTACAAAATATCTATTTCACGTGGCATTCATTAATCGTTCTTGGCGTTGACTCGTAATCCTTCATTTAAAGTTCGATTTTTAAAATGGACAAAAAAATTAGTCTAATTTTGAGATGCAAACTGTTGATTGTTTTAAGGATCATATTGACGACTTTATCTTGCTCTGTTATTACATGTACAAACATTCCATGCAACTCTTTTTATTAAACTAAATCGAGATATTGACCATAGGAAGTATTTAGAAAATTCATCGAGCTATCAATAAAATTCTATGTTGCCTTAAATTCGATATGTTCATAATTTAGAAACAATATTCCAAATTATCTATTTCGATTCGTCCGATTTTTTATCGCAATAATGAAATTGCTGAAAGAAAAATAAAGTTGATTACAGATAGCAATTGAACACTTGATTAATAATAAAATTTGCTATATCATTTAATATAGACGACTAGTTATATTAAATATTTTTTTCTTTAATTTTATGTTATAAATTTTTATTTTTTATCAATAAACAAACATTTACAATGCTGATTACCGACTTTATTTCTTTGACGTATTTCATTTCTTAAATATAAAGTAGACACGAACTTGGTATCAAAAGATCTCATGATCTTATAATTATGCATGTTGTGGAGTTAATTTAGTTCTTTCAAGTTAACGTTAAACTTAAAATATTAGCTAGCTTGATAGTTAGAAATTAATTCTATGACATGCATACATTCATGCACATGTATATCAGGGGGATAATGCATAATTATTGGTCACCGAACCATGTTATAATAGAGGGAGAGAATAATACATGCTGTTCTGGGATTTTTGATCATATGTCATACTAATGAGACTATTACATGACATAATAATGAGAACAAAAAAGACTGTTGTTGTTTGGATGGATCAGTTAGGTCAGACTAACGTAGATGTCAAAGTCATATTAACGAGAGTTGGCTAACGAATCTTTTAGTCTGCAACCTCATATCAAGCAAAAAGCACAAATAATGATTCTCGGAGATGTCTAAAAGTTTAATTGGTGACACTAATAAAACACAATAACGATAATAAGCAATCAACAAACAAAGATGTAAAGAGAATCTATGCCATGCATTTTTAATTACTATCGCTATACATCGACATGTACAAAATCATTACGTACATATTTGTTGATTTTTGGGTTTTTGTACTACATGTATTTAGGATACGTGCTCATTTATTATTATTATTATCACACATGCAGATACAATTATTTCTGCCCTTGCTATAGTTTGCATATATACATGTACGTACATGTATGTTAGACCGAATTTACACAATTAGAAATCAAAACGCGCAAATACATGTTAATTCGTATGTAGAAGATTAATGTACAACAGTTAGTTTGTTATGATTAATGATAAAATAAAAAATACTAAAATAAATACTAAAAATACGGGGGAAAGAAACTAAATAATTATCAGTGAATTACCATTTGTCTTTTATTAGTATAATGAGGATAATTTTCATGATCTTTATCTCGTGATGGTCGATAAGTAGACTCCAACGGTTGAACAGGAATCGAACACGTCAGAGCATGGAAGTTTTCAGTGGAAGATATGCTACTAATGTCATCTTTCCCCGATTTTTCATTCAAATTTCGACTATTTTGATGACCAATTCCAGTCTCCGTAAGAACTTGTTCATTGATAGAGCGAGCATCAATACCAATAGCGTTTGGTGATGGTGGTCGATCAAGTATGGTGCTTATATGTCGTTTCATTTTTGGGACCAGTTCGCGTACAGGTTTTACGGAGACTATGTTTCTTGTTATTCCGTAGATTACGCCATTTACCGCTCCAGCTGATGTGAAGATGCTTGCGGCTATTATTAGACTAAAAGACAATAATATTTATGAGCTTTTATGTTTTAAGAGTTTCGATATCAATAAAAACTTACTATAAAAATGGTAATCTGGTATCGCTGAGAGCAAGCAAGCGCTCTAAAAGAAAATACAAATTTATAATTCATAACGTTTACAAATTTATAATTCATAACGTTTACAAGTGCAGAAAATTGTCATGTGAAAAAATGCTTGCCTAAACCCAAAGGAAGTACAAGAACAATATAAACAGCCGGATAACAAATCAATTTTTTACTCGTTTTTTGCAGGATTTTCTTTGTTGCTTCCATTGTCACATTCCCTTGACGCCGATAGACAATCAAAAACATCAAACTATACAAAAAAATCATAATAATTGCGAAGGCGATGATGATTCCACAGTGGAGTATTACTCGGTATTCTTTGTAGTTCGGTCCAATCCAGCACCAAGATCCGCCGGCAGATGTGTAGAATGGTTCGTTTGGGTGTTGTACGAGGAAACCGCCTAGCGAGATAACTATAGCAAACGGCCAAACCAATGCCATTAAAATTTTGAGAAAGTATTTTGGTTCGCGGCCGTTGACCACCAACAGATATGTGTGTAGACATATACTGGTTGCCCAAAATCCTAAATATATCAGTTCATGACTTCAATCATTAATTAAGAAACTTTATATAAAATAAACAATGAACATCAACTTACCAGACGCAAGGTCTCCCACATTAATGATAATACCCTGCAATTGACAATAATTTCCTTGATATATTTTTCCTTTTGCAATCCAATTAGAACTCATGAAAAACCCGATACTCTGCAACCAATCCGAAAATAGCAAATTAAGTATTAAACGCCCGACCATTCTGTTTGGGCTTGGATTATTCGCGATCCAAAAAAGCATAAATGATACTACGACGTTGCTCATTAAACTAAACGTGCATATTGCAATCATTCCATGAAGTTTGTCTTGGTCTGTTGGTGGCGCAGACATAATGCTTAATGGATTATCTTATCGGAAGAATATATGTTTATTAATTAAAGAGTGAATGCGTGATAAGATTAAAACAAAATTTGGGCAACAAAAAAAGAAAAAATTTTGAACAATTGATTCAATAAATATTTGAATCAAAACAACTGTTTTCCAAGTACAGAATTTTATTTGTGCAACTAATACGCAACAAACATAAAAATTTTAAATTTGGTCTCAACAAGATAAAATCGAAAAAGCAAAGACATACAACGATAGGAACGTGTAACTTTCTTGAGATTTTATTTTATTCGCTAATGTGCTCTCAATCAATAATAAAAATATTACTATCGTTATGAATCCAATTAAGCGAATTGACCGAATTGATAAATAAATTGAAGTAATTCTAAAATTCTATGGATAACAATAAACGTCTTAGGATAATTAAAAGAGAACATACCGAACCTACACGAACCTTAGCGCTAGGTTTAGATTCTCGAATATTAATTAAATAAACAAATACGTATTGTATGTGATACAATTTGTTTTTCTGGTTTTCTACCAATTAGCGTTAGATGACTCGTTCAATGAAACGATACATAAAATTAAACTTTTGATTTACATGACAGATAATTTTGTTCTTCTATTTGGGTATCGAAAAAGATTCTTTGCATGATTAAAGTCGTGGTCCGTCTACCATTTCAGGTTAAACTCAGCAAAGCAACAAACCGATGCATATGGTTTCTAACTTATAATGGACCAAAAAAAATTAATACCAAATAAATCAATAAATAGACGACTTTAATTTCGAATTGGAAAAGTAAAATTATAAATTGAACATTTATTTGATGCATCGATATTTGAATTATAGGCACGGATAACGATAAACTTGGATCGTGCATTTATGTATCCCCCACCCGATTTGGTTAAGATAAAAACAGCCAATGTGAATGTATAAAGTTTTGAACAACTCGGCAAAAATGTGAAAAATACAAGAAACATATGTCTAAATCTGGTTCGGAGTACTAATAAAAAAAGACAATTTTATATATAACCTGGATCAACATCCCTAACCGTAACCGTAACCCTAATCTTAAAACCATTATTTAACCTTAATCTTTATTACAGTAGAAATTTCCGAAAATACGCAATGCTATTGGTTATTTTTG